ATCTAAGATCTACAGATCTATAACCAACTGGATCTAGGAGCTGTAGCTCTATAACCCACTGGATCTAAGATCTACAGATCTATAACCAACTGGATCTAGGAGCTGTAGCTCTATAACCCACTGGATCTAAGATCTACAGATCTATAACCAACTGGATCTAAGAGCTGTAGCTCTATAACCCACTGGATCTAAGAGCTGTAGATCTATAAGATACTGGTTCTAAGATCTACAGATCTATAACCAACTATATTTAAGATCAGTTGATCTATAACCAACTGGATCTAAGAGCTGTAGCTCTATAGCCCACTGTATCTAAGATATACAGATCTATAACCAACTGGATCTAGGAGCTGTAGATCTATAACCAATTGAATCTAAGAAATGTAGATCTATAACCAGCTGTATCTAAGGTCTGTAGATCTAAATCCAGAGCTAAATCCATAATCATCCAGACTTATAATTCAATGCTAATCTATAATCTGTAATCTGAAGATGAATGACAATAAGATCAAATAAAATTCAATATTAATTAATATCAATAGTTTATCAGAGGCTCAAAAAATTACATCAGACCAACAATTATAAATAAAAATAAAATTTAAGAAGTTTTTCCTTCCACTGAACTTTCTCTGAATGTCTTTGCCTGCAGCAGCATGAAAATGACTGAACTGCTGCATCTTCAGTAAGACTGAGACCCGAACATGAAACTTAACGTTATCTATGTTTATACATCTAGGCTTGGATGGATCATTTTATTACCTGCAGACTCGCTTTGCTGTATATTTGTAGAATTTCTATCTATTAATTTATCATCTTCTGCATCTTTAAAATCTCATTTTTACAAACTTTACTTTAAAATAAACCAGCACCTTCACTTCCCTGCATCAAGACAGTTTTTATCAAATCCTTAATTATGGAATTTAGTTTTAATTCATCCGTAGACATTTCAGCTCATCGCTGAATTTCGTTAATAATATCGTTTCCTGAACAGACAGGAAGGAATCTGAAGCAGGAAGCTGCGTGTTTGTCAGACGCCGCGGCTCGCAGCTGACTTCCTGAACTAAATAAAAGCTGCGCTGGACGATGCTAATCTGCAGTTAGCAATAAAAACAGATGGACGGAGATCAGGGTGATTGGAAGGATAGAGATCTGAACCAGAGCAGCTCCCACGGTGGTGGCGATGTCATGGTTTGGGCCAGGAGGGCT